CAAATTTTGACAGATGTGAAAAATGAATTCTTACCAAAACAGAATATATATAAGTACATGCAGAATATATATATGTAAATATGTGCAATATACAATGTATGCAATGTATATAGACACAAATGATATTATATATCATATAAAACATTGATCTGGGTTCCCATGTAACCCGGCAAGGAACAGGGACCATCCTTTTACATATGTAACGTGTTTCCTGTAATTGTTTTACTCAAACACAATCATTTTCTAAGTGTGGTAATTATGTACACTTTTACATTATGAAGCACTGAGATACGTTAGTATATATTGTATTGTAATTATCACTGCCTTATTAGTGTGCAACCAAATATTATAGTTAGAATAGCCCACAATCTCAGGGAGGTGCAGAACCACACACACAATAAATAAAAATTAAGGGGAAAAAGGAAAGAGGAGGCATTTACAAGAAAATTTCCAAGAACTTCAGAAATGGGTCAAAGCAATGGTTGTACTACCCATGAAATTTGTAAATATTGGCTTGTGGAATCATTCTTTCTAGATGTAAATTTTCTCTTTTCATAATCTAAAACTCATGAAAGCTGTTTCCGGATAGAAGAGCGATCTCTTCATATGAATGGCTGCTGAGCCTACAGCCCTGCATTTTGGTGAAAGACTACAGTGATGTGCACAAATCAAGAGCTGCTGCTGCCACCTGAGGGTTATTCTAACTGTACACTCCTCTTTTAGTTCAGGACTTGGAATCAACCTGGTGAAGAGGGTCGGGCTGACAGCATACTGCAGGACTCTCCTAGAAGATCAGTATAAACCTAGGTCACCTAATGGTACCCAAGCTGTTAAGAGGGCCCCAGTGGAAGGAGAGAGTTGCTACAACTGAGGAAACTTGGAACTCACTGTGGTTAGGGGAACAGAGAATATTTATTAGAACTGTATAAAGCTTGTGTTCAGATTTTAACTGTGCTACTTAATTACCATGAAAAATAAAACTAAAAGGCCACTATCCTTTTAAAATGTCATTTCCTCATTGATACAATTAATATGGATGTTTTTTAAGATTTTATATGATAATGTATGTGAAACATATATAAATCTTGGAGGTTACACATGCTATTGCATTTATAAATGGAAGAGAGAACTGAAATCCCATTGAGAATGAGAACTGTTCATTTCTTCGACTACAGAACAGAGCTGAGGATCTGACGTTCATGATTTAATCTCTCTTGACATGGAGTGGTAAGGAGCTTTAGTGCTGAGGTTGAATTCTGCTTCTTTTACTATTTGGGCACTTTGCTTCATTTCTTTATCTAAAAAAATTCCTCCTCTTTAAGTAAGTAAAATAGTGTATGTTCTGTGGGACCATGGTAGAGAGTAAAGTGAAATAATGAATGGGACATAACCAGCACTCAGTAATGGTAGTCACACTCAAGCACTTCTTTGTAGTAAGAACAGAGAAAAATGAATCTAGGCAACTTTGTACCCAAAGAACATGATTTATTATAGAGTTATAATATCTAATTATAAACTTTTCTTTGGAGTGTACTTGATTAGGTTATACAGATACCTGTTATGGGCCCAATTTGTCATTGGTTTTATGCTTATATTATCCATTCCTTGAAATTTACATTCATAAACTAACTGATGCAAGTCAAATACCTGAAATAGAAATGTAAATTTCTTCTATGGTAAATTATAATCTTTTTCTTTGTCAGTTGATAGAAGGATAGAAATGATAATGACAAGAATAGTCACATGTTTAAATTAGGCAGTACAGTAATTCACTTAATATCTCACGCAATATAAAATGCCATCAGGGGGCTGGGGATTTAGCTCAGTGGCATAAGCGCCTACCTTGCAAGTGTGTGGTCGTGAGTTCAAACCCCGGTACTGATAAAAAAGAAAGAGACCAAAAAAAAAAAAAAAAAGTCATCAGGAGGGATTACTGGTCAATCCACTGTAGAATGGGTTGTCAGTTGTACTCTATTAAAATTTATTAAAAGTTTTTTTTTTTAATTTTAGCAACAGTAACATGGGTAAAAGTTGGAAAAAGAAAACTAAATTTGAGGTCTAAAAAACTGTGATTTTTTTTAAAATTATAGAATAAAGGAATAAGACATTGGGCCCAGGTAATGGCAATTTTAATTGTAATTTTCACTTTGAGCAGTGCCAAATGCTAGTAAAAGCTGAAATGAGTGACACTTAAGAAAAGAAAAATCTTCCCCCTTGAATGTCTTTAAAATCTATAATAATAATAATATAATAATATAAAGTGCATCTGGGCATTGCCTTCTGCTGCAGTTCTTGTCTGGCTCTCATCCAAAACTGTCAGGCTACTCTGAGTGCTGATGATTCATATCCCGGCACTCTTTTTATCTGAACATTGCAGTGTCTTTTCTTTGTACTTTGGCAGTGATGTTACCTTGATGTTCAAAAATCTTTTAAAAGCAACACAGTTTTTCACCGCATCTTGACAAATCATTGTCTGCTAGTAATGAAGAAAAAGCAAGTCCATGACCATTGTAAATATAAAGAAATAAACACACATGGGTTTCTAAAAGATGATTATTTTATATCTGCAAAGTGAATATCCTAATAATCTTTCCTTATTTCTCTTACATAAATCAACATGCATTTACATTCACAGGGTGCTTTTCATATGTTTCTGCATCTGAGGCTTGAAGCAGCCATGTGAAGATAACAAGGCTGGTTCTCATTAATATTCTAACTTATGTGTAAGGAAACTGAGGCTCAGAATGATTTATGACTGTTCCACTCAACCACAGATCTTCTCACTCAAAATGAGTGGTTCATTTTTTTTTATACTGTTGTCTTTTGGAAGGGAATATCAGCTTTGCCAGTGAATATTTAGTATCTAGAGCAAAAATGGTATCTTTTTCTGGGGTAAACACTGATCAAAGCTGCTGGAGTTCTTTGTTATTTGAATCCTACATTTTAAGGAGCACAGAGTGGGAAACTACAGGACATAAGGAGAGCCGAGAATGGTGAGGAACCTGGGAAGTAACCATGAGATCAGGGTTTTCCTTTCTGGAAAAGGGACAATGTAGACAGACATAGCTGACATTTCCAAATATTTATGGACTAATTTGTGGAATAGGAATTATGTTTGTTCATAACAATTCCAAGGAGCAGTAGAATCATTGGGTAGAAATTACACTGAGGTAGATTTATACTCAATATAAGAAACTTTCTAACATTTAGAGATGTTCAAAAATGGACTAGACTAGCTCACCACCACTGGGAAGTATTCACTGAGACTGCCCAACTTGAAGATTGTATGACTTTATAAGTATTATATTTTAGCAATGACAAAGTTATATGATGAACGTTTCTAAGAGCTCAAGAAAGAATTTCCTCACTAGCTAAAAGCAAAGGGATTTTGTAAGCTTTGCCATCCTGATTTTAAACAGAGAGAATTATATCTTTAACAATTACTGTTGCACACATCACAGGGTCTTGTGAAGTACTTTTCTACTGATAAAGATTAGTTAAAGTAGGTAAGGAAAAGTTCTGTAAGATTAGAATTGAAGTAGAGAACTATAAATTTTGTCATAGTTGTTGTGGTGGTACGTGCGTGTGTGTGTCTGTGTCTGTGTGTATGTGTATGTGCAGTTTGTATGCATCTTAACTTTCAGGAAGAATTTGTCATAGTGTTTGTTATTATCTGATTTATTACTTTTACTTCTTACCAGCGGAGCCCTAGGACATAATGTGAAAAGAGAGAGAGGAAAATTCTTCCAATAGAGGATTCCACTTTCTTAGTATGGAAAAGGACTGGGCATCCACACAGTGATAAGCTAAAAAGAATTTTTGCCTTCTACTTAGAAGCAGACCTATTAAGGGACATGTTGAGCTGGAGTCTGAAGTCACTAGTACATCTTCATTTTCTGCCCTAGGGGTTTGTTTTCCTTTTCCCCTAAAATGAAAATGGTGTTCTCAGAATTTTCGTTTCAACTTTTAAATTTTATGGTTCTAATTCTCTCAATTGTATAGCTCTGTTTCTGTACACAGGGAACTGTTGAAATTCGTAGGGGTTATGTTCCTAGAGCAACTGAGAATTGTGAAAAACTACAAATTTCAGATGGTCAGGCAAATGCCTATAAATGCCAATTTTTATAGTTCAAATTCTAAATATGCGGTTATGCAATCTAATAAATTACTGTATTAGTAAGCCCCTAAAAAGTTCAGGACATTTTGGTGGCATCTCAGAGATCTTAGGGCTTGAACAACAAAACTGAGAACACTGGAGGTAGCTCCTTGCGTTAGAACAACCTATAATGATGCAAGAATGCCGGTGCATGTGTAGGAGATGGGTTACAGGATAGCAGCCAATCAGCAGCAAGGAGAACTGAATAATGCCCTCAGATTGGCTACTTGTAAACCTCCTGTCAAAACAACAATTGTGAGGATATTGGTGGTTTCTGTGAAGTTGTGGAGGGTGGGGGAGGTTTCTTGAATAGTTATTAATTAGATTCTAAGGAAAAAATTCCTTGAATGACTGTATCTGAGCTGCATTTTCGCAGGGATATACTGTGTTTACATAGGAACTTGAATATGACCTTAATTATAACTGAAGCAATTCAATAATGTGTTCTTTCATTTGCTCAGAAATCTTTATTAAGTGAAACCTGTAGAAAAAGAAAAACTTTTCAATATAAGACGATTTTAAGAAATAAAACAAAATGGGAAATAGCAAATCATGTAGTTCTTTGTTCTGAAAGAGTAATGCTTAGTGTAATAATTAAAATGAAAATGATGTACTTCATTTGTATGGTATTTTGAAGCAAATATAATAGAATTTCTCTGGAAATTGTTTATTGTTGCATGGATTTGAAACTATAATATTTCAACTATGCCCCAAATCATAATGGTGTTCAATGAGAACTTGTACTGAATCTTTTAGCACCAGAATTTTTAAAATATCCATCCATTAATTCCAAGCAAAACTTTTCCTCTATAAATGAACTCATCATTGTATTATTTTTCAACAGATTCCAGAGGGGTGACTACCACATTGATGTCTGTATCAATGACTACCTGGATGTTTTCTGCCCTCACTATGAGGACTCCGTTCCAGAAGATAAGACTGAACGCTATGTCCTCTACATGGTGAACTTTGATGGCTACAGTGCCTGCGACCACACTTCCAAAGGGTTCAAAAGATGGGAATGTAACCGGCCCCACTCCCCAAATGGACCGCTGAAGTTCTCTGAAAAATTCCAGCTCTTCACTCCTTTTTCGCTAGGATTTGAATTCAGGCCAGGCCGAGAGTACTTCTACATCTGTGAGTATATAGATTTATCATGCTATGGGGCACCTGCAAGAATCCAGACTAATTTTTTACCCATGTTTCAGAGAATTGCAGAGCTGGACTCTACATTACAGATGTCTCCTCATAAATGCATACATCACAATCCCTAGGTACATTAGCTGGAAATTGAGAGCACAAATTAGATTAAAGACACAGTGTCTCTCTCCTTATGAAATTGCGTGTCAGCCTGTTCAGTGAACCACTGCTGACTTGTATTTCTTTTAAATGAAAATTGCTAGAACTTCTCCAAAGCTCAGGAAACGAAAAAAAAAAATCTTGAAAAGAATTAAAGGAAATAATTAAATTTACATAGCTTAGAGTCATTGGACTTCTTATTCAGGTGTCAGCATACCCTTTCAGTCATCCACAGTTTTAGTGGAGAAAGCCTAAACTCCTGCAAATGTCAGCATGCTGACAATAAATACTCTCTTTGCACCAAGGAGAAAAAGCAATTATTAAGAGCAGCTGTGTCTTTAAGCATCACGAGTGTGAAGAACTATCTAGCAAGGGTTACCAGGGAAATGCAATGAGTGAGTTTTTAACCTGTGAGCATTGACTGTCCTGGGAGAGCTCTAAAACTTTCTCAGCATTAATCACGTCATGCTCTTGTTTTTTCTCTATTATGTACACCATCACTTCTTCAAGCACGGTACTATTATATGTTATAGGTAAAGGTTTCTCAAGGTTCATTGTGCCTTAGAGTCATCTAGGGACTGTGTAACACATGTTCTGGCTTGGAGTCTGCATGCATAAAGCCCCCTGGTGAGTGGATGCTATGGTCCTACACAATAGATTTTGAAGAGTGAAGTCCTAACTAACACCTGTTCTAGGTAGTCTCCTATCAATCTGGACTCTCCTTTGACTGGTGTCAAATGTTTAAACTATGCAGCTATTCCCATGAATTTTCACTGTCAGCAGAAGGAGTTAAAGTCTTATTCATTCATAAGTACATTTACCAAACAGTTTACATTGGATCAGGAATGTGGGTGGGTGGGAGATGAAAAGATTTTTAGAGTGCAACCTTTTAGTAGGAAGCAGACCTGTAAATAGGCATCGTAGAGTATAGACAGGCAGCTGATGAATAAAGATAAATATGGGGAGCAGTAGGAACTTGAGGCAAGTCATGGCTCACCTGCTTGGGAGAATCAGGAAGTACAGCTGCACGCTGTGTGTGCGGATCCAAGGAGTACCGCTCAACCTGCTCAGCACCAACTTTTCACCTCAGCTTGCCAGACGAACGAGATAAAGAACATTCCTGTTTTTCTGACTCATTTCTCCAGTCCAAATGTTCCCACCCACATGCTCTGCCTTTACTGAGATTTCTGCCTCCTTTTCTTCTCCAGAAAACAGAATTTTATAAGTCGGATTTCACCATCAAAAGGACTCTCTCACTTATATTGGTATTGAATTTAAAAAGGAAATTGAACAGTGCCAGTTTTATTATTTCAGTACATATTTCTGTTATTAGTCATGAGAAAACATGTAAAAGCCTTGATACTATCTCACATTCAATATGTAAAATAAGAAAAGGAATATTGCGTCCTACAGATGCAGGAAATACTGGCATACAGTGAATTCACACATTCTCACACTGTATGCTCTTGACTTTTTCTTAATTTCTTACTTTATGAAAGAATCTTATTCAGTAAATAAGTAAAGGGGAAGAGGAATCTTCAACTGTGGGACAGCGTCTTATTAATTATCCAGCTATCAAATACTAATGTAAGAGGAATTATTACTATTTTTAAATTTTCTTCTTGATCTCTCAGATTAAAATACAACAAAGGCATAAACCAAAAATGAATATATAGCACTATGATGGGAAACATACCCACTAGCTAACTAACTACTTGATTGCATGATTATTAAAAATTATAGAATCCATTGAGGTTCATAAGCAAGATGCTATTATTCAAATATACCCATAGTGCTTATGACTGGTTTCTCCTCATTTGTGTTAAATTCAATATTTCACTAAAAATCATTATGTGTCTTCTATAACATTCATTTAACAGAGTCATTTAACTGTCAAGGGTTCCCGTCAAAGTAATTGTTCCAAAATGCTTCAAAATATCAAGAGCTTTTTGCTGTTCAGCTGAGTTTAACTTGAATTGCTTTTTTTTAAATGAAAGGTAAAACAGCACAAATTAGCATCAAAGCAGTGTTCATTTACAAGAAGCACAGTGGCCTGGTGATCACTTAAGTTGAATTTTCAGCTATGTTTTTGACCCACAGAAGCAACCTTGCCTGTGCTTTGGGCAGCAAAGGGGGTCTATCTCTTTTGCTGCTGAGAACAGTACTAACAGCGCTGATGTGGACATCTCACAGATGTTTAATGTACTGTGGTCATAATTAAACTGAAGGATTCCTAGGGGAGAATTGGCCCTCCATTGAATTTTCCTCTCCTAATATGCATGGAATGAACAAGATGATTGGGAAATGACTTTTTTCATACTTAGCACATTACAAGAAACTCTATTGCTGATCTCAGGAGTAAGCTTGATGGCCCACTAAGCAATTTCATCCAATATTGTTGCTAGGCCAGGAGTGCATTTCAGTACCTCATAGCTTTCATGTCCCTTCTAACTTTTCCAAGACAAAAATGAGGGGGAAACTGTGTAGCCTGTTGTCTGCTCTGCTTCAGACTGTTAGAGGCGGGCCTTGGTGTAACTGTCGGGTAGACTGCCAACTTTCAGAGGCAAACATGGATTTGTGGGAAGGGGAGGTATTTCATGATCAGATTACCAAGATTCAGAAAGGACACATGTCAGGATTCTTATCAAGTTCTACTTTATCTGCAACAAGACTTATTTTTTTAATTTATTCCTAAAATCAAGACAATGATTAAAAACATCACAGATGAAGTTTCCAATTTATTTTAGAAACAAAACATCATTCACAGTACTAAATCTTTTACTCAATTCCCAGTGACTCTATATTATGTATTCTTCCTTTTAGATGAGACAATACTTTAAGTAGTTATTATAGTCACTGATTATTGCTATCTTGGGCCATTATTCATTGTGACGTACTGCTTTTTAATCTGTAGGAGTTATTTGGTAAGAAATCAGCACACTCATATTATTAAAAGAAAATCAGTGACATTTCTACCAGTGATAGATTTGCAGGATTGCCAGTTGATTAGTTCAGGTATTTGTCATTTATGAAGAATTCCTAAAGAAAGAATAATTTTAGAAACTTAAAAAAATACTCATTCACGAACTTCAAAAATACTTCAGAAATATTTTTCATAAATTTTAGCCTAATGAGGAAATGTTTGGAAGGTTTTTTTTCTGCTGTTATTGTGGATAAAGTTAAATCATTAAAATATGGGCACTGTAAGCTATCTTTGCAAAGTTAATAGAAACATGGAATTTTGAATGTGCCCTTTTGTAAAAGAAGGACACAGAGCCCCAGGACACACTCTTGTGCTAAGTAGTTGCACAATCATGGGTAGTAAATAATTTATTCTCTCTAAAGTCTACCTCTACCTCTGTGAAATAATATGGTTGTAATTGATGATTTCTGAAATCTCTTAGAGCTTTAATATCTTAATCTTACTATATTTTACTGGATGCCTGAAGTTTCAGGCTAAGAAATAGCATGAGTATAATGGCCTAGCCAATGTCTTGCTTAGTAGGTGTCAATGAAAAGGTGTCAGCTGAAGGAAATTCTTTCAGGGAAATGTGGAATTGAAAGATGTGTTAGAATCACCGAGCCAGTTTTCTCCCTGCCGCCCTGTACAGGCCGCTGAGATCAGTGGTCTCTCCTAGGACAGCAGAAATTACTGTGCTTTCCTGATGCCCCCACCTCCACAGCATGTGTTATCACTGTGTCAAAACCCTCCCTGGTTTTGTTTCTTGCCAAAACCAAAGTCCAGTCTCTGACCCGGCACCAAGACCCTCCAGGGCTGTGCTCCTTCCTCCCCTACCGTCCATGTCTGATTTCCTGTCTCACGGTGCTCTTCCTCTGCTCCAGGCACCCTGCCCTCCTGTCTTCTCGTATCCATCAGTGCAGCCTAACGGGGCTTTGGGAGCTTAGTGTCCTGTTGCTGTCGGCATCCATGTCCCTTTCCTTATCCCCCACTTTCCTTGGAAGGGTGCTCAAAAATGTCTGCTCTGACATTGCGGTATAAAAATAATACTGCCCTCGTTCCCTACCCTCTTCCACACCTTTTCCCCCAGTTACTAACCAGCCTTGATGTTGTATATAGTTGGTTACATACTGCTGATTCTGCTGTATATCACATAGTGTATTGTTTGGCATATAGTAGACATTCAATAAATAAGGATAAGCAGTGTTTACATAGCACTTAATCTGCGTAAGGCACCCTTTTAAGTATCCTGCAGTTCTCAAAAACAATGCTACGAGACAATGTTGTTTTTTTCTTTTTTCATGAGTGAAAAAACTGAGCCATGAATTTAAGTAAGTAGAAAAAGGGTCACATAGATAATAAGTAGGTGAACTGAAAGGAAATTTAAGTAAGCAATTAAAAGAAGTGAAAATATATATAAAGCCCAGATGTGTGTGTGTGTGTATATATATATATATATAAAGTCCATTAAAAAAAAAAAAACAGGATAAAAACCAGGTCTTATATAGTTCAGAATGAAAAATATATTTTATGGTATAGAAATAGAAATAAGTAACACTCTCTTTGACATAGACTGTTTAGAGAGTACTACTGTATAAACTGTCCTTACCCCAATTCTGATAATGCAAGATACATTTTAAATACATTTATGTATTTTCAGCTCCACAAAGGATATCCAGAAGATGTATTTCAAATAACTTCAGAAACCAGAAAGTTACATTTTCTGAGGAATTCTTTTCAAATTTACTGAAATAAAGTATTCAGATTGAATCATGATTACACACTGGATTCAGGAATTAGTGGTTTTAATGAGAAACCTACTAAAGAAGACAAATGCCATTTTCTGAAAATAATGCTAAAAAAGGCAGAGAATCTAGCA